TATGGGGTGACTACCGCCCACAGGATGGGTATGGGGTGACTACCGCCCACAGGATGGGTATGTGGTGACTACCGCCCACAGGATGGGTATGGGGTGACTACCACCCACAGGATGGGTATGGGGGGCATAATAAACATATTAAACTAACTAACTTTGGTATTTATATTCTGGAAACATTTCGCCAGCCAGTTGTTTCTTCAGTCCAGTGCAGAGAAAGATGGAAGGCGAGGAGGAGTTTGAGGCAATCAGTCCCTCAACCTGGAGTCGTTGTGTCCAGTCCATCCATCTTCCTTCTTTCTCTACAATGCGTGGCGAAACGTTTCCAGAATATTGATACCCAAATGTTGCACAGTTGTTAGTCTCTTGTGGGTTGCATCCTTGTGGTTGCAGGGGTCGATTCATAGCTCCTGGCCTCGCCTCTTCACTAGTCTCTACTAGATCCACTCTCTCCCTGCTCCATGAGCTTTATCGAACCATTTCTTCAAGCTATACGAACACACGAAAGAAGGAACACTGTAGCAGGCCTACTGGCCCATGCGAGGCAGGTCCAAGTCTCCCATCGGCTTAAGCCAATGCCCTAACCAAGTCAGGTCAGGTCACATACATTATGTATGGATCCTGCCTCCATGAATGTAGGACAACAATAGAGATAAGCCACCCTACATGGCTTTGATGGGTTATCCCACGTCAACAACCCTGAGGATGTCTTCAGGAGCCTGATGGAGGCTGTTGGGACACCAGAGGGAGAGACTCTATATAAGGGAGCGAGACCCAGTCTTCAGGCACTAGTCTTGGGTGACCACCGCTGGTGCAACATGGCGCTGCTGCCTGCTTACTTCCTCCTAGCAGGTATGTTCACCCTCACTACTACCTCCCTCCCTCACTACCTCCTTCCCTCACTCCCTCCCTCCCTCACTACCTCCTCCCTCACTACCTCCTCCCTCACTACCTCCCTCCCTCACTACCTCCTTCCCTCACTACCTCCCTCCCTCACTACCTCCTCCCTCACTACCTCCTCCCTCACTACTCCATCACCTTTCCTCACTACTCCATCACCCTCCCTCACTACTCCATCACCCCTCCCTCACTACTCCATCACCCTCCCTCACTACTCCACCACCCTCCCTCACTACTCCATCACCTTTCCTCACTACTCCATCACCCTCCCTCACTACTCCATCACCCTCCCTCACTACTCCATCACCCTCCCTCACTACTCCACCACCCTCCCTCACTACCATTCTTATGGTAACTTTGCCCCCCATACATTCTTCTTCTTATCAAATATTCCCATAAAACCCTCTAAAATATTTCCTAGTTTAATGTCAGGTTAAAAACTAAACTTAGATTTCAATAAGTATTAGTGAATAAACAGAGTAATGAACCGGTACTCGAACCATGGTGCATGTGGGTAGCATGATCATTATTCTCCCACCGAGAGAGGGTGATCAAGAAAAAAAAAACACTTTCACCATCATTCACACAATCACTGTGAATACAATACAATGCAGTCACAGACAGGCGATCTTAACAAGACGAGCCACGGGAGGGGGGGGGGAATCTTAAGCACAAGTGCTTTGATAGTCTCCGTGCATCATCAGTTGTGCAATGTTGCAAGAGTAGCAACAGGAGAAATGAGAGATTTTCTCAGAGGCAGCGTGGGGACACCAGCCACAGCTTCTCTCAGATATGTGAGGCACAACTTGCAGCGTGGGGACACCAGCCACAGCTTTTAGTTTGTTTAATATATTTATTATGCACCCCATACCCATCCTGTGGGTGGTAGTCACCCCATACCCATCCTGTGGGTGGTAGTCAAAAGATTACAGAGGTACATAATGGGTCCAGGGACTGGGCCTCAAAGTTTTGATAGCTGAGCAAGTTACAGAGGTAATGAATTCACAATTTACAAAGGTAATGCAGCCACAGCTTCTCTCAGATATGTGAGGCACAACTTGACTCACGAAATCGTAATTCAATTCAGTTCAAGTTTATTCTCTATAAGGGTTACAATGTGGGGTTTACAGGTTTTGGGTATTGTGTGGTTTACATGTTATAAAATACTAATTACAGAGGGGGCCACTAGGACACCTAGCATGGCTAGGTATTTCGGGCAGACTTATATTAATTCTTAACATTAAATCCTTACATATTATGACATGATTGCAAACAAACCATAACATGGGTTGGGTTAGAACCCGCGGTCAGTGAGTCACAAAACTCCAGACCGACGTGTTAGCCACTGGACCAGCTGGCTACAATAATATTTATCCAACTAGATATATTTATACACCATACGAAGGTTAGCATAGGCCACCACTGTGACCGCAAATGCAAGTTTTTACAGACGAATCTTCAGCCCTACCATAAACTGGGAGGCCCACTTCTACCACACCATAAACTGTGAGGCCCTCTTCTACCCTACCATAAACTGGGAGGCCCACTTCTACCACCCCATAAACTGGGAGGCCCTCTTCTACCACACTATAAACTGGGAGGCTCTCTTCTACCCTACCCTAAACTCTGAGGCCCTCTTCTACCCTACCATAAACTGGGAGGCCCTCTAATACCCTACCCTAAACTGGAAGACCCTCTTCAGCCCTACCATAAACTGGGAGGCCCACTTCTACCACACCATAAACTGTGAGGCCCTCTTCTACCCTACCATAAACTGGGAGGCCCACTTCTACCACCCCATAAACTGGGAGGCCCTCTTCTACCACACAATAAACTGGGAGGCCCTCTTCTACCCTACCATAAACTGGGAGGCCCTCTTCTACCCTACCATAAACTGGGAGGCCCTCTTCTACCCTACCATAAACTGGGAGTCCCTCTTCTGCCCTACCCTAAACTGGGAGGCCCTCTTCTACCCTACCATAAACTGGGAGGCCCTCTTCTACCCTACCATAAATGGGGAGGCCCACTTCTACCCTACCCTAAACTGGGAGACCCTATTCAGCCCTGCCATAAACTGGGAGGCCCTCTTCTACCACACCATAAACTGGGAGGCCCTCTTCTACCCTACCCTAAACTGGGAGACCCTCTTCAGCCCTACCATAAACTGTGAGGCCCTCTTCTACCACACCATAAACTGGGAGGCCCTCTTCTACCCTACCATAAACTTGGAGGCCCTCTTCTACCCTACCATAAACTGGGAGTCCCTCTTCTACCCTACCATAAACTGGGAGGCCCTCTTCTACCTTACCATAAACTGGGAGGCCCTCTTCTACCCTACCATAAACTGGGAGTCCCTCTTCTACCCTACCATAAACTGGGAGTCCCTCTTCTACCCTACCATAAACTGGGAGTCCCTCTTCTACCTACCATAAACTGGGAGGCCCTCTTCTACCTTACCATAAACTGGGAGGCCCTCTTCTACCACACCATAAACTGGGAGGCCCTCTTCTACCACACTATAAACTGGGAGGCTCTCTTCTACCCTACCCTAAACTCTGAGGCCCTCTTCTACCCTACCATAAACTGGGAGGCCCTCTAATACCCTACCCTAAACTGGAAGACCCTCTTCAGCCCTACCATAAACTGGGAGGCCCACTTCTACCACACCATAAACTGTGAGGCCCTCTTCTACCCTACCATAAACTGGGAGGCCCACTTCTACCACCCCATAAACTGGGAGGCCCTCTTCTACCACACAATAAACTGGGAGGCCCTCTTCTACCACACCATATACTGGGAGGCCCACTTCTACCACACCATAAACTGGGAGGCCCACTTCTACCACACCATAAACTGGGAGGCCCTCTTCTACCACACCATAAACTGGAAGGCCCTCTTCTAAAACACCATAAACTAGGAGGCCCACTTCTACTACACCATAAACTGGGAGGCCCTCTTCTACCACACCATAAACTGGGAGGCCCACTTCTACCCTACCATAAACTGGGAGGCCGACTTCTACCACACCATAAACTGGGAGGCCCACTTCTACCACACCATAAACTGTGAGGCCCTCTTCTACCCTACCATAAACTGGGAGTCTCACTTCTGCCACACCATAAACTGGGAGGCCCTCTTCTACCACACCATAAACTGGGAGGCCCTCTTCTACCACACCATAAACTGGGAGGCCCTCTTCTACCACACCATAAACTTTGAGGCCCACTTCTACCACACCATAAACTGGGAGGCCCTCTTCTACCACACCATAAACTGAAAGGCCCACTTCTACCACACCATAAACTGGGAGGCCCACTTCTACCCTACCCCATATGGTGAGAGGCAGTGAGGGTGCTGAGCAGACTGGTGCCTCTCATATCTAAGAGAAGCAGTGGCAAGCATCACTACGCTGCCTCTGATAGAACTCCCCTTAATTCCTCAAGTTGTTACTCTTGCAACATTACATAGCTCCTGATGACACACAGACATCTGAAAGTACTTGAGCTGAAGATTTCCATCCCCCCCTCCCCCCGTGGCTTGTTTTGCATAGTTAAGATCTCATGTCTGCAACTGTCTTGCATGCACACACACACACACACATACATACATAAATTGTGCCCACGAACGAGTGGTATTGATTAATAACAACATTGTGACTAGCCAAGGACTAGAACCCATGCTGCTTTGAGTTTTCGTCCACCATGAGGCACGCCAAAGCAGCATGAGTTCGAGTCCTTGGCTAGTCGCAGTGTTGTTACATATATATATATATATATATATATATTATATATATATATATATATATATTTATATATATATATATATATAATATATATATATACAGTGGGACCCCCGGTTAACAAACTTTTTTCACTCCAGAAGTATGTTCAGGTGCCAGTACTGACCGAATTTTTTCCCATAAGGAATATTGTGAAGTAGATTAGTCAATTTCAGACCCCCAAACATACACGTACAAACGCACTTACATAAATACACTTACATAATTGGTCGCATTTGGAGGTGATCGTTATGCGGGGGTCCACTGTATATATATATATAAAACACAAGGTGTTAATATATATATATTTGTCTGTTTACAGTTACTGTGGGGTTGTCGTCATCAATGAGGGTAAGTGAACACTAGCATCTAGAACAGGTTTTCAGTTTTCACAATTTTTTGGATCTAAACAGTTTTTATAGGTTCTAGTATATGTTCTATTTACATGTTATCGGTGCAAAAAAAATCCTTATGCTGAGCATTTCCCGCAAATTTGTCCCAGGATGTGACCCACACCAGTCCACTAGCACCCAGGATGTGACCCACACCAGTCCACTAACACCCAGGATGTGACCCACACCAGTCCACTAGCACCAGGATGTGACCCACACACAGTCCACTAGCACCCAGGATGTGACCCACACCAGTCCACTAACACCCAGGATGTGACCCACACCAGTCCACTAGCACCCAGGATGTGACCCACACCAGTCCACTAACACCCAGGATGTGACCCACACCAGTCCACTAGCACCCAGGATGTGACCCACACCAGTCCACTAACACCCAGGATGTGACCCACACCAGTCCACTAACACCCAGGATGTGACCCACACCAGTCCACTAACACCCAGGATGTGACCCACACCAGTCCACTAGCACCCAGGATGTGACCCACACCAGTCCACTAACACCCAGGATGTGACCCACACCAGTCCACTAGCACCCAGGATGTGACCCACACCAGTCCACTAACACCCAGGATGTGACCCACACCAGTCCACTAACACCCAGGATGTGACCCACACCAGTCCACTAACACCCAGGATGTGACCCACACCAGTCCACTAACACCCAGGATGCGACCCACACCAGTCCACTAACACCCAGGATGCCACCCACACCAGTCCACTAACACCCAGGATGCCACCCACACCAGTCCACTAACACCTGATGGGTAAACATGGACAGCAGGTGTCTCAAGGAAACACATCTTAATGTCTCCACTCGTACCAGGGATTGAACCACGGACCTCAGTGTGCGAGATGAGTGCGCTACCTATTGAGATACAGGACATACATGAGAGTATTTTCAATGCCCTACTTAAGTCTCCCAGCTCAGGTTGACAAGAAGACCCTTGATTGGAAAACTATCCTGTGTGATGAAGAATGATTGGAAAACCATCCTGTGTGATGGAAAATGATTGGAAAACCATCCTGTGTGATGGAAAAGGATTGGAAAACCATCCTGTGTGATAGAAAAGGATTGGAAAACCATCCTGCATGATGGGAAAGGATTGGAAAACCATCCTGCATGATGGGAAAGGATTGGAAAACCATCCTGTGTGATGAAGAATGATTGGAAAACCATCCTGTGTGATGGAGAAAGATTGGAAAATCATCCTGTGTGATGGAGAATGATTGGAAAACCATCCTGGGTAATGCAGAATGATTAAAAAAAAAAACATTCTGTGGGTTTAGCAATGAATTTTGATCAGAATAATGATAATACATAGATTATAACATGCACTGATGTTAAGTTTATTATTATTATTATCATCCAAACCAAGCACTAAACCTACATGTGTTTAAATGTTTACAATATTTAATTATGTATAGAAAATAGGAATATTGGTACATATTTGCAAAAATTTTGATAATTTTGAAACCTTTCTATTTTAATTATATTATAATTTGGGAAAATATTGACAATTTTGGAACCTATCTCAATTATTTACATTAAAATATGATTTCGGTTTACGACTGTGTTGCTGGAACGTAACCCTGTCATTACAGATCCTGGCTACTTCTGGCAAGACAGTGACTGTCTGAGCGATGGTGAAAGTATTTCTTCTTTTATGATTTTGCAGTGAATTTCAGGTGAGGCGTGGATATGGCGGAGGCGGCTATGGCGGCGGCGGCTACGGTAGCGGCGGAGGGTCGTACTTGGTCGTCGGCGGCGGCGGCTACAGACATGGACCATCATCCTCCCAGATCGCCAACCAGGCGGCCTACCACGCCACAGCTGCCGCCGCTGGTCTGGGTGGCGTGGCACACGCTGCAGCTGCCAACGCCGCCCAGGGTGTGGCCAGCGTGGCAGCCAGCGCTGCCAGCAGGGCCAACTACGCAGCCTCCAGCAACTACGCTGCAGCTGCGGAGTTAAGTCAAGCCCTCGGGGCAGCGCAAGCTAATGCCTTCAGGCAAGGCAGTCAAGCTGCCACAGCAGCCGCAGCCGCCCAGGCTGCATACGCGCATAAAGTATGGGCATACAACCGCGCAAACTCCCACTACGGAGGCTATGGGAGCTACGGGGGCTATGGGGGCTATGGAGATATAGCATACGCCCGCCAGAACTTCTTCAGCGCATCGGCGAACGCCGCAGCGCAGGCTGCGGATGCACACTACGCGCAGAAAGCTGCCAACAACCTACTCCTGCAAAGCTCCCTTGCTAACCACCAGCTTCAGTCCAGCAGAGGTGCAGCTGCCCAAGCTACCGCAGCTGCTACAAAAGCCCTAGCAAAAGCTCACGGTGCAAATCTTGGCGCAGGAGGCTATGATGGTGGCTATAGTGGAGGCTATGGTGGAGGCTATGGTGGCGGCTATGGTGGCGGCTATGGTGGAGGCTATGGTGGCGGCTTCTATGGTTAAACAATAATAAAAATCTGGTTCAGCTCTGGTGTATAGTATGCAAATTATGGCACAAAATACAATAATTCTTATTTATAGAAATATTTATTGTATAACATGCGCTAAACCCGAATGGGCATCGTTATATCTTGTGTGAGGTTATAACACTCAGTGTATATACACTGACATGTGTATATCTCAGTGTATATACACTGACATGTGTATATCTCAGTGTATATACACTGACATGTGTATATCTCAGTGTATATACATTGACATGTGTATATCTCAGTGTATATACACTGAGATGTGTATATCTCAGTATATACACTGAGATGTGTATTTCTCAGTGTATATACATGGAGAGGTGTATATCTCAGTGTATATACACTGGTAGGTGTATATCTCAGTGTATATACACTGGTAGGTGTATGTCAGTGTATATACACTGAAATGTGTATATCTCAGTATATACACTGAGAGGTGTATATCTCAGTGTATATACACCGAGAGGTGTATATCTCAGTGTATAAACACTGGTAGGTGTATATCTCAGTGTATATACACTGGGAGGTGTATATCTCAGTGTATATACACTGAGTGGTGAATATCTCAGTGTATATACACTGAGAGGTGTATATCTCAGTGTATATACACTGAGAGGTGTATATCTCAGTGTATATACACTGGGAGGTGTATATCTCAGTGTATATACACTGGGAGGTGTATATCTCAGTGTATATATACTGAGAGGTGTATATCTCAGTGTATATACACTGGGAGGTGTATATCTCAGTGTATATACACTGAGAGGTGTATAATCTCAGTGTATATACACTGAGAGGTGTATATCTCAGTGTATATACACTGGGAGGTGTATATCTCAGTGTATATACACTGAGAGGTGTATATCTCAGTGTATATACACTGAGAGGTTATATCTCAGTGTATATACATTGAGAGGTGTATATCTCAGTGTATATACACTGAGAGTGTATATCTCAGTGTATATACACTGAGAGGTGTATATCTCAGTGTATATACACGAGAGGTGTATATCACAGTGTATATAACTGGCAGTTTATATTAATCAGTATTTAGGGAGTAAAGTAATTTTTGACTGGTGGTGACCAGGTGACCTGCCCGCCTAATGACCCCCCCGTGTAAATAGATAAACTTTAAACCCCATTATCCAACCAACCAGTCTTAATGACCCTCGTGTAGTAGATAGACTTTAAACCCCATTAACCAACCAACCATCTTAATGACCCTCGTGTAGTAGAAAAGACTTTAAACCCCATTAACCAACCAACCCAGTTCTTAATGACCCTGGTGTAAATAGAATAGACTTTAAACCCATTAACCAACCAAACCAGTCTTAATGACCCTGGTGTAGTAGATAGACTTTAAACCCCAATAACCAACCAACCAGTCTTAATGCCCTCGTGTAGTAAGATAGACTTTAAACCCCATTAAACGCAACCAACCACCAGTCTTAATGACCCTGTGTAGTAGATAGACTTTAAACCCCATTAACCAACCAACCAGTCTTTAATGACCCTGGTGTAGTAGATAGACTTTAACCCTCAATTACCATCCAACCATTCTTTATGACCCTGGGTAGTAGATTGACTTTAAAACCCCATTAACCAACCAACCATTCTTAATGACTCCTGGTGTATTAATAGTCTTTAAAAACCCCATTAACTCACCAACCATCCTAATGACCCTGGTGGTATAGATAGACTTTTAAACCCCATTAACCAACCTACCAGTCTTAATGGACCCTGGTGTAGTAGATAGACTTAAACCCCATTAACAACCAACCAGTCTTAATGACCCTGGTGTGAGTAGATAGACTTTAAACCCCATTCAACCAACCAACCAGTCTTAAATGACCCTGGGTGTATAGATAGACATTTAAACAACCCCATTAAACCAACCAACCAGTTTAATGACCCTGGTGTAGTAAGAATAGACTTTAAAAACCCCATTAACCAACCAACCAGGTCTTAATGACCCTGGGTGTAGTAGATAGACTTTAAACCCCCATTAACCAACCAGTCTAATGAACCTTGTGTATAAAAGACTTTAAACACCCATTAACCAACCAACCAACCAGTCCTTAATGACCCGGTGTAGTAGATAGACTTTAAACACCCATAACCAACCAACCAGTCCTTAATGAACCCCGTGTAGTAGATAGACTTTAAAACCCATTAACCCACAACCAACCATCTTAATGACCCTGGTGTAGTAGATAGACTTTAAACCCCATTAAACCATCCACCAGTCTTAATGACCCTGTGTAATAGAATAGACTTTAAACCCCATTAAACCACCCAACCAGTCCCTTAATTGACCCTGGTGTAGTAATAGACTTTAAACCCCATTAACCAACCAACCAAGTCCTTATGACCCTGGGTAGTAGATAGACTTTAACCCCATTAACCAACCAACCAGTCTTAATGACCATTGTGGTAGTAGATAGACTTTAAAACCCATTTAACCAACCAACCAGTCTTTAATGACCCTGGTGTAGTAGATAGCTCTTAAACCCCATAACCAACCAACCATCTTAAATGACCCTGGTGTGTAGATAGACTTTAAACCCCCATTAACCAACCAACCATCCTTAATGACCTCGTGTAGTAAGATAGACTTTTAAACCCCATTAACCAACCACCAGTCCTTTAATGCTCCTGGTGTAGTAGAATAGACTTTAAACCCCATTAACCAACCAACAGTCCTTAATGACCCTGGTGTAGTAGATAGACTTTAAACCCCCATTAACCAACCAACCATCCATAAATGACCCTCCGTGTAGTAGATATACTTTAAACCCCATTAACCAACAACCATTCCTTAAGACCCTGGTGGTAGTAGATAGACTTTAAACCCCATTAACCCAACAATCCAGTCTTAATGACCCTGTGTAGTAAGATAGACTTTTAAACCCCATTTAACCAACCAACCAGTCTTAATGACCCTGGTGTAGTAGATAGACTTTAAACCCCATTAACGCAACCAACCAGTCTTAATGACCCTCGTGTAGTATCTAGACTTTAAACCCCATTAACCAACCAACCAGTCTTAATGACCCCGTGTATAGATAGACTTTAAACCCCATTAAACCAACCAACCATCTTAATGACCCTGGTGTAGTAGATAGACTTAAACCCCCATTAACCAACCAACCAGTCTTAATGACCCCGTGTATAGATAGACTTTAAACCCCATTAACCAACCAACCAGGTCTTAATGACCCTGGTGTAAGTAGATAGACTTTAAACCCCATTAACCAACCAACCAGTCTTAATGACCCTGGTGTAGTAGATAGACTTTAAACCCCATTAACCAACCAACCAGTCTTAATGACCCTGGTGTAGTAGATAGACTTTAAACCCCATTAACCAACCAACCAGTCTTCGTCAGTCATCAAAGTTGAGGGACTGATAACCTCAAACTCGTTCATGTTTCACACCTGGGCGAAACGTCTGCACAATAAAGATAGCGAAGTTTTGCACATGTCCGTATGGATTTAGCGCTTCCACAAAAATAATAATAATAATAATAATAATATTATCATTATTATATTAGTGGGGAAGCGCTAAACCCGTAGAAGCAGTGATGGTGGTAATATTAATTACGTGTGGGGGGAGAAGTGCTCTTGATCCAAGGCACTGGAGCTACGCCTCCTCTTCCTCGCATCAAACCAGAGTACCCCCTGATCCCTCTCCCCAGTTAATCTATGACCCCTACGGATTGACGCTTCCTCCCGTATAATAATAATAATAATGATAATAATAAATACTGGAATATTACCCGTCTTGAGTTTATATTAATTCTTTTCAATTGATAACTAAACAATGTATCTTCAGATAGACTTGAAACTTACAGGAGTTAGTGAGACTCGGTAACAATATGGGAAATAAACAGAGTGGATAACGAGAACCTTTAAAACTTGTTCTTGTTCTCTCTAGGTTGGAATATTTTGCTATATATTAATGGGTCCTTTCAAGCAGGCAAAATTGCTGCCGCTGGAAAGGGAAATGTACAGAGAACTTTCACGGCGCACATAAGTACGATAAAGCACCTGAATTACTGGGAACAGTTGAAGATCCTTGATCTGTATTCCCTGGAATGCAGGCGAGAGAGATACATAATAATATACACTTGGAAAATCCTAGAGGGATTAGTACCAAACTTGCACACGAAAATCACTCCATATGAAAGCAAAGACTGGGACAGGAGATGTAACATTTCCCCAGATGCAAAGCAGAGTGGTCCACGAGTACACTGAGAGACAACTACAGTATAGTGTCCAGGGGCCCAGACTGGTTCAACTGCCTCCCAGCTACATCATAATAAGGATTATCCAATAGACCCCTGGTTCTTCAAGACCCTGGTTTCTTCATGACCCTGGTTGTCTTCAAGACCCTGGTTTGTCTTCAAGACCCCTGTTGTCTTCAGACTCCTGTTGTCTTCAAGACGCCCTGGTTGTCTTCAGACTCATGGATGTCTTCAAGACCCCTGTTGACTTCAAGACCCCTGGTTGTCTTCAAGACCCCTGGTGGTCTGCAAGACACCTCCCTGGTTGTCTTCAAGACCCCTGGGGGTCTTCAAGGCTCCTGGTGGACTTCAAGACCCCTGATTGACTTCAAGACCCCTGGTGGTCTTTGTAAGACTCCTGGTGGTCTTCAAGACCCCTGGTTGTCTCATACCCCTGGTGGTCTCAAACCCCTGGATGTCTTCAAGACCCCTTGGGGTTCTTCAAGCTCCTGGTGAACTTCAAGACCCCTGATTGCTTCAAGTCCCCTTGGTGGTTTTTAAGACTCCTGGTGGCTTCAAGACCCCTGGTTGTCTTCAAGACCCCTGGTGGTCTTCAAGACCCCTGGTTGTCTTCAAGACCCCTTGGGGTCTTCAAGACTCCTGGTGGTCAAGACTCGTGGTTGTCTTCAAGACCCCTGGTTGTCAAAACCCCTGGTGGTCTTCAAGACCCCTGGCTGTCTTTCAGGACCCCCTGGCTGTCTTCAAGACCCCTGGGTTTGTCTTCAAGACTCCCTGGTGGTCTTCAACACCCCCTTGTGGTCTTCAAGACTCCTGGTTGTCTTTCCAGACCATGGTGGTCTTCAAGACCACTGGTTGTCTT